CCCAGTGGGCTCGGGGAGGGGGGTTTTCGTGTCTTGCTGAGTTTTTGCATGTTGTCGCAGCTTCTTGAACATCAGCTGCTCTGCAGGGGGGACTGGGGTGGGGAGGAACATTTCCGAGCCGCCTCTCCACGCTCGTGTCTCTTAAAGCCGTTTTTCCTTGGTCCCTGCAAATTGCCTGTGAAAAACACGTCTTGAGTAACCTCCGCGTCTCGGACATCTCCTGCATGGAATGTTCAAGAGCCTGATGCCACTTCGATGGGTGCCGAGTTATTGCCAGCGCCCAGCTTGGACTCCTCATAGGCACGTGGAAAATTAGCACCCAATTAGGCATCTTGCATCTGTTCTGGGGATTTTTTTTTTTTTTCCTGCTTACAAAAATTGCAATGCACCAAAAAGTTGGGAGAACAAAAAAAAAAACCCACCACCAACCCCAAATCAAAACCCCTCTGCTGTGTAGGTAACATTTAACATCAGAGTGAGGGTGTCCTGCTGCTTCTGCGTGGTAGCAGGGCCAGGAGATGAGTGAGCAGCCGGGAGCTGATGGGATGGACCCTGCAGCGATGCCCAAATTCCCCTAAACGGGGGGCTATAAGCACCACGGGGGCTATATGCACCGGGGGTAGATGAACGGGTGTTCTGCAGGGCCCTGGGTCCCTGGGATGTGTCTGGAGTAAGGAGAAAGAGAAATCTTAAAGCCCCCAGACCCTGGGGCTGCCTCCCCTTGGCATCGTTTTGGTCTTTTCACCCAGAAATCAAACGCTTTTTCTAGATGAATCAAAGAGAAACAGCTTGGAACTTTGAATTCCAGCACTTGGAGCGGGTTGGGGATGTGATATATGCCTGTATATAGAGAATTAATTTTTATTAATCCTGCTTTCACTCTTTTTTTTTTTTTTTGACTTGGAGGCCTTTCAGGAAAACACCGAGGCTGTGCTCTGCAGCTCCTCATCCCACCATCCTCTTTCCCCATCCCTGACTCAGCTGCCAGCCCAGCTCTTCCCAGCCCAGGTCTGGCCTTTGCAGGCAGGGACTAGGCAGACCCACCTGCTGCCTCGAGCTGCCAGCCAGCAATTTGGCACCAATTCCTCCTGTTTCTGCTAAGACGGACTTGGCTCCCTCTCCTTGGGTTGTGTTGTTTTTTTTTTT